TTGTTAAGCGTCAAAGGATGCAAAGAGCGTCAAAAAGCGCCATGCACGGGGTCACCAGAATGTGAAAATTATGAGAGAGAGAGAGAGAGAGCAGTGATACGTAATGAGGGACGTCAGCAAAGCAGAAGAATGCAAAGAAACAATGCTCACACATTCCTCTTTCCGGAGGGACTGCGGATGGGAGACCGTGTTGGAGTGCTCTTCAGGCCAGAACATCTTTGTTGCCTTTGAAAACTCCACATCTTTCCACCTTTGCTGCCTTTGTCAGTTTTTTCATGCGACGCTGATTTGCTACTGTACTCATCCCCGTGTACAGTGTCGGAAATAGATCTAGCGCGGAGGATCATCGTGCTTGATGTGGCCATTGTTTCAGCAATACTCGCTCCGGACACTTCAGGTGTAATCGCGAGGGCGGTGCCCTGATGCGAATTTCTGTCACTTGGAAGGAATTTTAGGATTTGAAAATATTTGAAATAAATCTGAAGGATATGAAAGGACCCTTTGAAGTCCAACTGTTTCAAGTTCACAAGAATGCTCTTCCGATTCAGCTCAAAACGACCCAGAAGATCCAAGAAGTCAAACATCTCAAACATCAGTTCCCATGGTTGAAGTGATGCGCTTTGCCTCCGTTAGCCACGGCAGAAACTCAGGTGAACGGGGCCATTGTGGCCACGCACCACTTTGCTGAGGCACCATGTGCGGAGGCCACGCTCTGCAAATGATGCGGATTATGTGTTATAATGTTTTACGTGCATGTTACTTCACATATTTTTATATGCATTTTTGAATAAGGTTTGGGAATGTTTTTGTATTCTGAGAGTTGAGTTGTTTTTTGGATATTCCGGGAAATCATGTTGTCCTTCGCTTTTTGGGATGAAGTTGGCAGGCAGTGGGCTTCTTGACACCAGTTATCCGACTGGCTGGAACTGGGACAGCTTGGGCAGTTGGGACACTGTGGAGAGGAAAGTCACGTTTTAAACAACTAAATCGATTGAACTATATTGAATCCTGTTTGGAATGCAATTCAGTTGTTGTCATTCTGAATCTGAACTGACGCTGTTTCATTCGCAGGAAAGCAGCCAAGCTGATGCCGGGCCTTGCTCCTCCTTCGAAGATGTTAGCGGATTCGCTTGGAGGCCACTCTTAATTTTGCAAGATCCATTTGTTCGCACCCCCAACATATGATAATATGACTATATATATATATATCTATATATATATATTTACATATATATATGACTGTATATATTGTATGTCATGTTCTCTTGATACCCATTGGCATCGAGTGCTTGCAGGTTCCAGGTGACGTTCGCGGTGTTTCACTGCCAAGTTGTCTTGTGAAGATGCGATGTGATTTCTCGCTTTTCTTTGGTGATGCGCAAATTAAGGGCAGTGATGTTGGGAACTCAAAGGACGTAGATTGCGAACATGGACGACTGAGTTATGAATATGTGAGAGTTTGAAGTTTACGGCTCTTTGCACACGGTTTATTATGTTTATTTATTGTTTGCATGAAGTTGCCAATTTGCATTTCAGTAGATGATTCATTTCAAGGCACTTCACGTTTCAAAGTGTTTCACACCTTCTCACCCCGCAGAGCCGTTGAGGATCCCAAAGAGGATTCTCGAAAAAAGGATCTGAAATTTGGAAAAACAGAGATTCGGGGATCACAGTTTGGCAGTTTTTTCACAGTTTGCCGTTTTGCTTTTTGCGTTACATCTCTTAAAGCCTGAAAACTTTTGAAGGCTGGACATAGTGCCTCAAAATAGAACCACAACATATTGTGACCAACATACTATCCCAGGGTAACCTGCACTTGTTGAGCATACGTGTCATGGTGCATGTATAATCAGGTAGATAGATAGATAGATAGATAGGTAGGTAGATAGATAGATAGATAGATAGGGATAGATAAATGGATAGGATAGGATAGGATAGGCACATGGTTGAATCCAATCCTGCTTCCATCGCACACCTTCAACGCTTTTAAGTTTAACCCAATCCTCATTTCTGTTTTCCCAATTGTTTGAAATCAACGCTTGCAAACCTACAAAATCCTCCAGCAGGAGCTGCATAAGAGTTTGGTCGCATTATTTATTCCATTCCATTTTTTTGAAGCATGATAAGATATCGCAGTTCAGCTTTTCGGAAGGCTGTCAAATCCACTTCTTCCCTTCAGCATCTTTGACGAAGCAGGCAACAATGTCAGAGAGCCAGGCTATCTTCACTCAATTCCTGACTGCAAGGTACTGCCACTGTCTCAAGTGACCGTTTGCCTTCTCTTGCCTTGTGGCTCCGACGGGTGAACAGCAATAGACACGTGAGACAGGTGAAATACCTTCTGGCTGTAGAGTACATGTTGCCACGGTTTGGGCTTTTGGGTTGCAGCCTCTTTGTTGACCACTTGCTCAGGGGTGTTTTGCTCAAGACTTGTTGTCAGCGGTCGCAACAATCATACCTCTCTGAGCCGTCTTGAGTTGATGAAACCCACCTCAGTTATCCTGGCATTTTATGCCGGCAGATTTGAGCAACCGAGCAACTTTTGAGCTAAAAGACTTGAGAAACTTCATGGGCGCGAACTGGCCTGTTGGTCCTATAAGCCATGGAGCTGCCGAAATGGCTCCGCCCACTGGATTCGCTTGGAGGCACACTGACCAAATAGGTGATAAAATGCCTAATCACATTTGCATCATTTGCTCTATTCAGAGTTCTTGTTAATGCTTGTTATGGCTCTTTATTGCCAGTGTCAAAACGGTGAAGCAGTCCAAGCACTTTTGTTGATGGTTTTTTTGGCTTCTATGATGGGAGGCCTCGACAAGACAATATTGTGCTCTGTGGCAAATTCTTTTGGCTCCTCAGAAGAGGCTTGTGATATCTTATCTTGTGATTCGGGCATACCTAGGACAGAGACCGAATGCGCACCAAGTTTGCACAAGGAAGGTACAGAATAGATAGATTAGATGATCAGAGGAGAAACGAAGCATCAAGCCAAGCCCAATGAAATTATAAGAAAAATACGCAACTACACCACAAAAGAGAGCCAACAAGACTCAGAGCTCTCTGGCTGCGATGTTTGCAACACTATGAAACTGAGAGCGTAGATTCGATCTTTGTCACTGATTTTAGCCCTGTGGAACGCTGGCTCTTTTCGTTTGGCTCAGCTATGCCGGTGCAGTGATTTTTCATCTCTTGAAGGCCAAGCAGTCATACAGAGCTCCAGACGGATCATTGGATGTCTTGTCCTGAGCATTGGTTCGGAACACCCAAAAGCAGCTACAATATGTTACAATTGAGTTGCATGTTGCATTGATACATCATGATACATCGCAAATCAAGGGCAACCAGGACTTGGTATGAGGACTTGGTATGTATCTTTTTTGCTCTTGCCATCCAATGTGGTGGTGATTCAGCGACGCAGCGAAATCAGTTTTCACCGCAAACCTAGGCTCGTTTTTTCGAAGACTTTGGTATCTATGATTTGCGCCATCAGAAGGCGTGAAATGCTAAGAGAGTCTTGTCAAGGCGTGCCAAAGTTGTGAAGAGCAATGCAAGCCTTTTCTTCTGAAGTAGAGACAGGAAAAAGACACATGCATTGAAAAAGTGTTGCAAAGATGTATGACATACATTGACATACATTGACATACACACATGCCTCATGGTATGACATGCATGACATGCCGTATGGGATGCCGTATGGTACGCAAAGATGTTGGCTGCATCTTACATTGCCATGGCTGAGGTTTCGGAGATGGCTTGAGTCAGAGAAAGACGAGGCCAATCTGCTACCAATCTGCTATCAATACTTGCAGGAGCTCTGGCAGATGGCTTGCAAGATGTTTCGTAAGATGTTTCGTGTGTGCTTGATTCTGCTTGATCACTGAGCTCTGAACCATTTGTTTATACCTTTCGAACCAGTAATTTGCGGGTTGTAACGATGAGAAGATTCCATATTGTCCTAGTATCACCGGTACTACTCAGCTCTACCTAGGACAACTTGGGAGTATTATTGTCAGCTCCATTTAATTACTATTTAAGGAGTACTTAGAGAATTTCTGGAGAACTTAGATGCAATCCTTGGTCATGCCGCAGGAAACGTAAAGAGACCGCTGAGATTTCTTGGTTCGCTGTCCAGTCTTTTACCGGGGCTGGAAAATTCTTGAAATGTTCAGCAAGTTCAACAAGTTCAATAAAACTTCTGACAGTTCAAGAAAGACAAGAAGAACCAAAGACAGTAAGAACAGTAAGTAAGAACAGTGAGAACAGTAAAAACAGTAAGAATTAAACAACGACTGGCCCATCAAGTGGACGGTTCTTGCAAAATGCACCGCATGCTTTCGTTAGAATGTTTGTCGTCACAGTCTTGCTGTCCAATGATGCTGTTGATGCTTGCGACATCTTCAGCTTAAAGTCAAACAAGTGAGCCGGCTGAATTTAGCAGGCAAGCAAGCAAGCAAACAAAACTTTCACTCACATCCTAAGCTTCGCAGTTGGCTTTGCTTTACTTTGCTACACAAAGCATGGAAGGAATGGAAGTCCAACTTGGTCGTGGCATTTGTCTCTCAACTGTGCGAAAAACCTTCGGCAAAGACAAGAAGGAAGTTCTTGGAAGCCCAGGTTTGAAGTTCTTGCATTTTCCCCGCTTGAAAGTAATGCCCAGCTGCAGGCACATTTTAGAGGTGCCGAAGACAGACGCGGCCCCAACCTTTGCCCTGGGTTGTTTGTGAAAGGTCAAGTGCCAGAAAGGTTTTCAGCAGACCTTCAAAAACTTGAATCAAATGTACTTGTACAATGATGCACGCATCTACATAGAGATACATAGAGCTGTCAGATAGCAGGATGGCTGCTTGTTCTTTTTGCGTTTGTAACTCCATTGTGCCTGTGGGAACCAAGGCGCACCGCATACTCATGGCAAATGTCTTCGTGGACTCCAAAGTGAGAGATGTGAGCTTTCAGGTCGCACCTTGCGCTTTTTGCGCTGTGTGCCTGTTAGTGCGCCTATTTTGACTCAAGTTCCTCGCTCTTGCTCCATCTTGCTCATTGGATATGTGAAGTTTGAGAACCGCTCATCGCGTGGAATGATGTTTCAACAAATGTAATGTGGAAGTGATGTCAGATTTTTCTCGCCCTGCACTCTCAGGTGGGCCCCTGGACACGTGGCTGCTCTCTTTGGGACATGGCGTCAGATGCTACCATGTGGCTCAGCGGGTTGACCGGTAAAAATATCCGCAGAAGGGAAGAAAGAAGGTGTGGAGAAGGTTTGGACAGGGTAAATGTGAATCTTGCAATCCTGATGGGGAAGCCTTGTGTGTTCAACTTGCAATTCTGGTTGGGTCGGGTCAAGACCTGTTGTTTTTTCTCCATGTTTTTCCTAGTGTACGGCAATGCTCAAAATCCGGAGCTCAGTTTCACCCAGTTGCTCCATGTTACTCTACTGGCTTCAACGTGTCAACAGTGGAACTTTCCAGGCAGCATTGAAGTCATTCTTCGAAGATCCAGAGCAGGTGCCAAATGCTATACCGTGCCGCAGACCACGACAACCACGGGTAGACTCTGATTAGAATCCGGGTAGATTGAAAAAGGAAGCATCAGGGGAATCGGAACCCTGTGCGATTGCGAGCCCTATGGTATGAGGTAGTAGATCTTATTGTGCCCTGATCGCAGCTTACTTTGAGGTTGCATCGAACATTGAATATTGAAAGCGGTTGGTGTATCACTACACGCATTGCATCGCATTGCAATCACAGATCGTCGCAGTCCCTTCCCTCATCCTCCCTTCGCTCCCCCTTTTGATGACCTATTTCCCAACTACATCGCTCCTGTTGTGTTTTGTTTTCCTTTCTTGGTTTGTTCTGCCCCAAGCACGGACAAGAAATTGTTGCGTTTTCTTTGCAATTTGCTTCTTTTCCCATTGCTTTAGGCAAATCTGTTGTGCGTCATCTCGTGCATTCCATGCAGCGTTTGTACACTTTGTCTCAAGGGCCGTCTGATTTTTTTGGCATTGCCTCCAAAGTCGTTTCCCAACATGGAGCTTCGAATGGCCTTTGCACAACACATACACAACTCCTGTGTAAGAACTTCTGTGCAAAAAGTCCTGCGTAACAACTCCAGTGTAGGAACTCCTGTGTAAATGGCATTGTAGCAGTTTTGATGGAGATATGTAGACATTGAGCACCTGTAGATGAAGGTGATGTAGATGTATGTAGATGATGTATGTGATCTAGATGAAGTTGATGTAGATGATGTAGGTGATACAAAGGATGTAGGAGATGTTATGTAGATGAAGTGAAAAGTTGAATTTGGCAGCAGTTCTTTGGGAAAAACCCTTCGCAGGAGCTTCTGGGAAAAACAGAGCGATCCGACATGCAAAAAGTGCCGAGAGGGTTGCGTGAGTCATGTCAAAATTCGCACTGCGCCACAACGAGAGCGATCCGACATGCACAGAGTGCCGAGAGGTCGCGCGAGCGATGTCAAAATTCGCTCCGCGCCACAATGAGGGCGATCCAACACGCACAAAGTGCCGAGAGGGTTGCGCAAGCGACATCAACAAATAGCGCGCCTCCCAGGCAAAATGACGTCCAAAAGCGCCTGTCATTTTGACCCGCGCCTGCCAACATTTTGGCAACGTCCAGAAAGTGCCACTCCTGCCACACCGATGAAAAAGTGCCCGATGTCCTGCACTTGTCACGGAAAACGACGTTCCAGACTTCAAAATGCCCCAGATGCCCCGCCTGCCACACGAAATAGACGTGACGTAGCTCAAAAAAAGAGCACGGCGCGGTGGTAGCAAAACGAGACTTTTGGAAGAGCCAAAACCGCGGCGCTCATCTTGAAATGCGCATGGGCATCTCACAAGGGAATCCGGAACTTCAGCAACTTAAGGTTCAGACGTGACAGTGGCTACGGCCACAAGACCTACAGGTCTCTCGAGGTAATCTCTTGGTACTCTCAATCTTTGCAACAGAAGAAAGGCAGCCAGACACAAAACAAACACAGAATTGCCAAACTAACATACAACAACTTATCGCTCCATAATCAAGCTTTGTCACAACCTCTAGAGGCGAATTTCCAATCAAATGCAGCGCACACAGGCCCCCCCATGGCAATGCGGGAAAGCCGCACTGAACGTTCTAAACGAACAGACGGCGGTAACCAACTGTCGAACCCAAAACTGCAATCAACTGATTCTACGAAGATGGGCCCCAAACGGAAATGCCGTTCTAATACTGCTTTACTTAGACGTCGAGTTAACAGAGCTAGAAACAGAAACATGCATAGGAGATCCTATCGTCATTTAAAGACACAGGCCCTTGCTTTGGCCAGGCAGGTGCCGCTGTTCAAGGCCCAAGATCCAACGGACAATCTTGAGTTTCTTGATTGGTTCAAACCGAAACCTTTTGATTCCCACACACATACTATTACACATGAAGAGTTTTCATTAGGATTTTCTGACTATCAGGACAATAGTTTTAAGGATCATGGGATCACCGATTACAAGATTGCAAGTCTTAATTGTAGAGGTCTTGCATCACCTTCTAGCCGGGAAAGACTTGTCCACACCATGAAGAAATACCATTTAGACATTCTTTGCTTGCAAGAAACAAAAATTAATGTTAACTCCATGGAACTGCATGATGGTTTTAGTTTTTATTGGTCTAGCGGAATCAAAGACGAAGACCGCAACAAAGCGATAGATCTCAAACGCTCGGGTAAGGGGTCAAGGGACAACCCCGAACATGGACAAACCTTCAGAAATGCTATTGAACATCTTGGGGTTGGCGTTGTTCTACATCCACGTATCAGAAAATATGTTTTAGATGTTCGACAGCACAGTGCTAGAAATATCATGGTATCATTGAAAACTAGATGTGGTGTCCTGGACATCTTATCTACTTATGCGCCTCAGGCGTGCCACCGAGACTCACAAGCAGCAGAAGCGCATTACGCTGAATTAGAATCACTTGTGTCAATAAACTATGCCTTCGCTCCTAAATTAGTTCTTGGAGATTTCAATGCAAGATTGATTAAAGCCCTTCCACACGAGACTTGCGTAGGACCTTACACTTTTGGGATCGAGCGACAGGATCTTGATTTTCTTAGTGATGCCCAGCTGGAAAACCGTTTCAAATTTGTAGAGTTTTGTCTGGAAAACCAATTTGTGGTGAAAAACACATTCTTCTGCAAACCCGAAGCTGAACTTGTGACATACAGAAGTGTAGGGGTTAAGGACTGGAGCCCTCCATGGCATCCACATCAATATAGCCAAATGGATTATATTCTCGTTAATGAACCATGGAAAAATGGTATCACAGATATTTTCGCCACAGAGGTGCATGACATTGACACGGATCATAAGATGTTGATTGCCAACGTCCGTCTAAAACTGAAGAAGAAAGGCCGTGTCAAAACTACTTCACGGATTAAATTTCATAAACCTCCGGGAGATGAAATAGCCAATTATAATGCTTGTGTGGCACAAAAAGCTGATGATCTTCAATCATGTGATAATACTGACAGTTTTGATTTGCTGAACTCAATTCTTCTTGAAAGTTCGCAAGCCACGCTCCCAAGATGTCATCCAGAGCAGAAAAAGGATTACATTTCGAAAGATACATGGGACCTTCTAGAAAAACGATGGGAAGCCATTTCAAACCAAGATTCGGCCTTGGCGGAAACGCTGAGCAAGGATATAACCAAGAGAGTTCGACTTGACAAAGAGCAACACTTACTGAACGAATTAGAAGCGGTTGATCAAGATGGTTATAAATGTTATAAATGGGATGGATTGAAAAAGATGAGAGCCAAATTCACTCCTAATTTTACTAAGTTCAAAGATTCCGCTGGCAATCATGTTCCATACAGTGACTACCCGCAGAAAGCTGCAGACTACTTGGCGACAACCCAATGGAAATGCCCTTCAGCAGAAGACCCAGTTGCACCTTCAAGGATCGATAGCCCTTTGCAGGACGGCAGGTACATCGTGTCTGACGACCCTTTCACAATAGATGAGTTAGATGCTGTTCTAAAAAAGGTTAAAAATAACAAAACTCCAGGAGTAGATGGTGTTCCAGGAGAGCTTTTTAAATGGCTTGACCAAAATAATCGGAAACTTTTCCTTAAGGTTGCTAACACTTGTCTTAGACATGAGGAGGTGAAACAACACCATATGAATGCTGTCGTTATTAGTATTTACAAAAAGGGCGATGCTTCGTCTTTAGCTAACTACAGACCCATTTCTTTGCTAAACAGCTGTTACAAAATCATGGCGGCCTTGGTCAAGGAACGGCTAGACTCTGGGCTAGATGCATGGATCTGTTCCACACAGTATGGCTTTAGGAAACATAGAAGCACAGCCCAGGCCATCTTCCTGGCCAGGCGTCTCCAGGACATAGCAGAAAAATCCAATGCCAGATGTACACTTGTTCTATTAGACTGGGAAAAGGCTTTCGACCGAGTATCCCAAGATAAACTAATAGAAACTTTATATCGCTTGAAGGTACCCGAAAAACTCTGCAATGTGATCGGGAGTTTGTATAACGATCCCCAATTTAAAGTTTGCGTGGGAGAAGCAGAATCAACGTGGAGATCGCAGTGCTCAGGAATTCGGCAAGGATGCCCGCTTTCCCCTTATTTATTCACCTTGGTTATGGGAGCCCTTTTTGCGGATGTCATGGAAGAAATCTATACGCCCAGACAACTTGAACCGCTAGATGGTGTCTACTTCAGTAAAATTTTGTATGCTGACGATACATTGATTTTTGGAGCCAACACACAGTGCATAAACACTTTCCTTCATGCCATCGAGCGCCGCTCTAAATATTTTGGCGTTAATCTTAATTATGATAAATGCGTCAATCTGACCGCCAACCAGCGACAAAGCTCTGTGCGTTTTGCACAAGAAGGACCGGCAGAGGGGGCATTTGTCCCAAGGAGGAAATCGGCAGTGTATCTAGGGACCCTTTTGACGGATTCCTTTGATAATAGAGCAGAGATTCTCAACAGAATAGGGGATTGCATTGCTACATGTCGGCGCTTAAAGCTATTTTGGGATAAAGCTAACACTTCAATCAAATGGAAAATCCAAGTGTTCACGGCTATCATAAGATCAAAACTGCTATATGGTTTAGAATGTATACAGCTGACCCAAAATGAAATCTCTAAGCTCAATGCTTTTCAAAACAAAACATTACGACGTATTCTCAAGAAACCTCCTACTTTCATAGACCGGGAACAGACCAACCTGAAGATGTATGATGAGATCAGACAGGAACATGGGTGCCATTTTGAACCTTTCGGAGACACTTGGAGAAAAAAGAAATTGAAACTTCTAGGGCACATGCTTAGAAGTAGCAGAGCTGACCCTTTGAACCAAGTCACGTTTGCAGCAGATGGACTTCGTCCCCGTTCGATAGACAAAAGGCGGCCAGGTAGACCCAGACTAGATTGGCTAACTGAAACATATAAAGACACCTTCCAGCACATGTATGGCCACGATCAGTTTTTTGACCCTTCAGATCTTGAACACATGAATCGAGTCAAACAATGGGCTACACAACGGATTGGCCCTTTCTAAAGGGGGCAAGTCCCAGGCCACTGGCCTCTCAAGGTACTCTCGTGGTAATTTGCAGGTGTGGACGGCATTGTGAATTTATTTGAGGAGTTCTTTTTATTGGAAGGGTGTGGTGTCGGTTTGTACAGTCTCAGTTTTTACAATTTGTCCGTCGGGAGCCCATATGCTCGACCGAAAAAAAAAAGTCAATCAAAAAACTGGGGGCCACAGAGCGTACTCCAACCCTTCAACACTTATGGGCAACAATTTGATTGACGGAAACATGTCTGCAAGTGCTGGGTACAAGACTTGTATTTGGGGACATGGCATCGCATGCCATAGCACGGCAACCCGTAGGGGAAAGCGATATTGTCACAAGGATGTTCTTGTGAAATGCATGCTCCAGGTCTGTAAATCTTTCATTGTATGCTTCTGACCTGACGGTACCTCAAAAAGGCTTAGACATTTCTGAACGGTGCCACCGTATGTGCACGTCATCAAGCGCGGCAGTGCCGAAATGTGCAAGGTGTTTTTGGCCTACACAACATTTGCAACTGACACGCTTGATGCCCAGAACCGATTCTCCTCAGTTTTGATGTTATCACTCTGTACAAACCCCCAGAGTTTCCTACCCCCATCTTGATTGAACTTCACGTGGCAACATTTTATTCGCCGAGGCCCCAATTCGATCGGAGTTTTTTTGCTGAAATTGGAATTACAAATGAGGCAGGAGAGCTCAGGGGAAATCAGGGGGATCAGGGGAACAGTTTCATGCCACACACGAGTTTTGTTGCCTTCGCGGCCAAGCCTGTTGAGACACTGTATAGCCTACTTGCACCTACTGGTACATGATTCGAGCGCCACCATTGCCATGTGAGAAGCCTGATCCTTTGCCAGGTCCACCAAAACATATTTGAGCGCTGGTTCGAAAAAAGGATTCAGGAGGCACTGAGCAGAGACAGCAAACGCTGGGCTTTACTGCCCCGCAACTTCGTAGTTATTTGGAGGTTTCAAGCTGTCCTACTTCAACCCTTGCAGCTCTTGCAGTTGGAAGCGGTGTCCCTGGAGGAGTTCAAGAAGGCTCTTAGCAACATCGTGTGCCAGTATGGGATTTGTTTTCCATGATGGTCGCATTAAATCGGCAACCATACGTCTATGAGGAAAGAACGTGCTTGCATTAAGTGTCAACCATGTGCTGGGAGCCTTGGTTTATTTCCAGCAGTCGCAATCATTGTAGCCGTATATACAACATGGTTTGTGACGCAGGTTCACATCTGTGGTGGATCCGTGATTTGTGTGGAATTTTTGGGTGTTTTTGCCAAGTTGCCAAGTCCCAACCAACATGGCGCCAATGACACCAACGCGTCAGACCAGAAGACGCTCTTGCCAGTGTTGCTATTTGAAAGGGAGTCAAAACAGCATCAAAAAAGGGTCTGTGACTGTGTGAATCCATCGAGGATGAAAATGGAGCAAACAAAGGACGCGTAAAAACCAATCGATCCACGCAATCAGGATGGGCCAAAGAAGACACCCCCCAGGAAACCGAGAAACAAATAAGAGAAGATGTGCCAAAGCCTTGTCAAGAAGATCTACAGGGATCTGTAGATCTTTTCTTGTCAGCTTCTGAACGAAGTAGAGAGACATTTGATTTCCCAAAAAGAGAACCCCGTTGGATCACAATAGTCTTCGCACTTCAGATTGCTTGAAGCATTTCGCACCGATCCATCGATAGTTGCAAAACTGTGGGCCCTGTACCCTTCAAGGGAGCAAGATGCGCTGCCAAATTTGCTGCCACATTTTTGGGACCCAAGGACAGTGGATCAGAGGCAAGAAATTTTCCACGTCATGCCACCTGTACAACAATCAAGTAAACTGGAGCAGAACAGGCCGAAGTCTTGAATTCGTTGGTAAGCTGTGAAAAGGTGCCCTGCCAGTTCGCTGCAAACTGTGCAAGCATTTTTTACATGCGATTCAAGTCCCATACACGTACATGCACATATATATATATATATTATATTGCAAAGATTCACGGCGCTGTTTTTGTAGCTGTTGCTGAGCGCGCCTTTTGCACTGCTGGGACTTGGCTCAAGGCCTAATGTTGGGCTGGATGCTGGCACATGTACATGACAGACATGCTGGGTCATGTTGTCACTGCACATGGCCCCTCACATTGATAGAGGTTGTCGGAGCACTTTGAACAGGATTGCTATTTGTACATGCAGCGGTGTGTTGTTATACAATTTGCCGCTCAGGTGGCTTATGAAAACCCCCTGTTGGAACAGCAGGTGTTGACTGTCAACTATACACCTGTTGAATTGACTTTACATGCCACGCTCATTGTTGGCCTCTCTCAGATGTTGAGCTCCCTGTTTCACTCATCATCTTCTGCTCTGCTGGTTTGGTACCCGTTGGCACCGAGATGTTCATTGAGCTCCACCCCGGACTGTTGCTTCTTGTTTCCAGGCTTCTGTTGGCCTGCCCCTTCAGGCTCATTGTCCATGTTGATATCTACCTGTTCATTTCGCCAGGTGTTGATCTTGTTGAAATGCTCCTCATTGGCGCTCTCTGTTGCGCACTCCACAAGGCCACGTTGAGAGGCTTGTTGAATTCTTGAGGCATGTCATTGTCTCGACTCCATGAAAGGAATATGTTGCGCCTCCCTTCACTGGATGCATCTTGTCGAGGAGGTTCAAGTAGCAGCTGATGGAGCTGCTGTGTTCCACTTTTGGCAAGCGCATGTTGCCACGCACAACAGGGATCCTTACAGGTGCTGAGATCCCGAATGTCGTTCCGCTTCTCCTTGTTCAGTATCAACCGCAGGCTGGTATTGCTGGCAGCTCTTGCAAAGCTGTGGTAACCATCCAGTGTCGGGAACCCCTGTTCCATGTTGGATCTCTTGGTCAGGAGCGTTGCCTTCAGGCCGATCTTCTCCAGTGGAGTTGCGTCCAATTCAAGACCTAACACCATCTTGGTTCTTGGAGCAAGCTTGTCATGACTCCAGCCATCTTGCTGACCTGTAGTCTTGAGGTCGCAGTGTTGTCCACGGTCCAGGTTGGAAAATGACTGCAGTCATTTGATTTGGAGTTCAAACTGTTGTCAGCCAAATGTTGGCTTCTGAGCATGCTGAATTCAAAAACCTCCGCCCGTTGTCTTCGGCACAAATGTTGACACAAGCTTCCGCAATCGTGTTGAGCTCTAACATGTTGAAAAGGGATGTGGTGAAGCATCGAAATACTTCATGTTAAGGCATGAAGATCTTTATGATACAAAGGATGTTGTCGACCTTTGTCAACACCATGGCTCGAAAAGTGCATGTCTGTGTGTGTGTGCGCGCTGCGCGCGTTGTTCGCACGTGCACACGCGGGTGCAGGCTTGCGTGCGCGCTGCGGTGAAACCCTTGCTGCTGTTGGTGTTTGCTAGTAGTGCTGGACTGTGAGCCCAGCATCGTTGAGTCATTGAGATGCTTCATGTCACAACGTACTCCTGCGAAGATGTCCGCGGTGTTGTTGGCCGTATTGTAGTGATCTTGGTGGTCCTCGCGGGGTCATGTTGCGCAAGTTGTTGGATGAAAAGGTGTTTGAGCGATGAAAAGGTGTTTGAGCTCGATGTGCTTTGCTTTCTTTGCGGCTCCAGTTCTTGTGAACATGCTTTGCCTGCTCGAAGAGTTTGTGTGGATCCTGACGTTGGCCTTCTTGATGTGGAGTGCTTCCTGTAGGAGGTTCCTGATGCGCTCCTGTGTTGATGGCATATCGTACCGCCTCTGCGATGCTGAGGGCTATTGTTGCTTGCTCGCGGCTGCCGAAGTGGATTGTTGATCCCATGAACTTAATGACGGATCCCGGTGTTGACTTCCTGGTTGTTGCGCGTCCTGCCCAGTCGCAGTGCACGAAGATGTTGAGGTCCGGTGTTGCGCCGATTGTTCGGACGATGGGTCTCACATAGAACCTGTAGTGTTCTGTTCCCTTGATGTACCTGAGTAAATGCTTGAGCTTCTCTTTGTTGTGAGTGGCTGTTCAACATCTGTCGATATTGTCTTTATTCCAGGTCATGCTGGTGAGGCGTTGCAGATGCGCATGTCTGCTTCCTTCAACAGTTCTGCTGTGTAGGTGCTTGCCAGGCTGATCTCGTAGTAATTTCCCTGGTTGGAGATGTTTCTTCCAAGGAAGTTGACACTGTTTCCTACTGTAAGGCCATAGCTGCTGCAGTATGTCTGCAAAGAGCTTGTTGGCAACTGTTGGTTTTCCCAAGGATAGGAGATCAAATAGCAAGAGGATGATCGCGTTGCCTTTTGCTCTGTCAAAACGTTGGGCTCGTTGGTCAGTCGTTGCATTCCAAGTTGCTGCAGTGTTTCTGCTAGTAGATTTTGCCAGGCTTTTGGGCGGCTTCTTTGTTGAGCTTCCACGCTATGTTGTCCTCCGGGTTGTAGAACTCTGTTGGTGGAAACATGAGCAAGCCGTCTTTGGCTGCTTTGGCATGTAGGAAGGCTGTTGAGATGTCGCCTGTTCTGACGATCCAGTTGAAGGTGGGTGGCAGTGTTAGTAGTAGGCATAGGATACAGAAGATGGGTGTTGACGCGCAAATGTCGTCGTTGTCGTTGACTTCTTCTGCGCATCCTTTTGCCACGGTTCTTGCTCTGACCTGTTGCCTTTCTGTTGTGGGACCCATCTTGACTTGGTCACTTTGCTTTATTGACTTATTGTGCTTTTGCCAAGTTGGTGATTGAAACCTCTGTATATACCTGTTGTGCCTTCATTGGCCTTATCTCTTGTTTCATTCCTTCAAGTGTTTGCTCTCTGTTCAATCCTTCTGTGTTCTTGACCCATGGTTCTAGTAGAATCTTTTCGGTTGCTGCTTCTTGTTCACCCTCGTTGGACAGAGCTCTGATTTCCTGTCCTTTCTTTGTTGTCACAGTCGCTGCTGTGATCTTGTCCTTGCTGCTGGTGGTTCTCAAGTGTTGTCTCTGGTCTTGCTCCTGCTGTCTGTCTTGTTGACGTCCTTTGTTGCTTGGACACTGCCTTCTGCCACGTCATCTGCCACATCGCGCTTCGGTGTTGGCGGTGGCAATGGTGCTCTTGCCATCTGTGTTGAGGGTGCCGTTGCCGTCGGCGCATCTGTGACGGCTGGTTGCTGTATTCTGCCTGTTGATGGCTGTGGTGTCGTCGTGGAAGATGCTTCTGTCTGCCGTTGAGGTGTCTGTGTCTCTGCTGTTGTCTTTGGTCTTGTCGTCATCTTTGTTGTTGCTAGCATGATAAAGCTGGAAGTTGGAGTTGTCATCGGTGAGTTGTTGATGACATCCAAGAGCTGCCTGCTGTACTTCTCAGGCTTGAGTTGACCTGACCACTTTGTTGGAAATGCCCAAGATGTTCTCGTTTGTTGAGGTGTCTCAAGCCAAATTGCTGGGGACCATCCGGCTTCCATCTTTGGCATCTGCTTTGCCGTTGGCAACATGTAGAGAACTGCTTCACCAAATTCACAAATTGGTGGCATACCTCTTCAGCAGGTAGGCTGCATGCTTCATCATCCAAGGCATGATGTGATGTTTGCCGGTAAGTCGTGTATTGTAGCTGTTCCCAAGTTTTAGCTTGAGTGCTCTTACTTGTCTCGTCAATGTTCGATGGAAATGTTCTATGCTTCCTTCTGCCTGTGAGGTGTATGCTGGCGACTGTCGTCTTGACATGGCTGTAGCTGTTGCTGTCAGCAGTGCTATGAGGAAGTCCTCATTGTTTGACTGTATGACAGCGTTGTTGAGCACCGCATGTGTTCTGCCACATTCCACCAGGAATTGTTGAAGACATGTTGACAGATATTGCATGCTTTGCGTTTTGTCTTCTATTTGTGCTGCCATGCACATGCCTGTTTCAACATCTATGGCTGTGAAAATTGGTGATGCTGCTTGTTCACAAATTACTTTGTAACAGGCGATGTCGCATTGGATCACCGGTGTCTTGTTGCGTTGCTTTGGGTGGCTGTCTGACCTACCCATTGCGTGTACACTTAAAGGGCACCAGCTCTTGCTTTATGTTGTTTATCGAAATCATCTGTGATGTATTCATCTTTGTATGTCGTTGTCTCCTCAAAGTTGGTCGATCCTGTTCACTCCTGGTTGACTGTTGCTTGTCTTTTTGTTGTCCAGCCGTCGTCTATCCTGCGCCATCGTGCTACATTTGTTGATCTCACCATTGTTGTCTCACCATTGTTGTTCTCTCTCCTGTGAGCGTGGTGACATCTGGACCATCGTCTGTTTGTTGTGGGATGGAAAGGTCATGCCGTGGCTTGACTCGTGACGTAACAAAAAAAGGGGTACCACGAGCCGTTGGGGCACCCTCTAGACTGATTGCTTGCCCCCATCAAGGGTAGTGGGCGCACTGATTGAAGCTTTGACTAGGCAGCCCTTGTTGGATTCTGGGAGTTTGGGTCGCAGCTTGGCAGCAGGCAACGCAGCAGACTGTGGACTTTGAGAGCAAATGGTATCAACAAGCTGCGGCCATTAGTTAGAAGCACAAATTCTCTGAGTTTCAAACCGCGCGCTGTTTATTGTTTTTGTTTGTTTTTTGTTTTGTTTCTTGTTTTTTATTGTTTTTGTTTTGTTTTTTGTGTGTTTTTTTGGTTTATTTTTTGGGGGGTTTGTTAATTTGGTTTGTTTTTTGTTTGTTTTCTTTCATAATTTTAATTATTTTCAATTTTCCAATGAATGAAGGTCTCTCGACGTCATAACCCTAAACCAGGCCCCTCCTGTCCAAGGTTCTCCTTCACGGATTCTTTGTCATTGCTTGGCATCGAGTGTTTGGTATGCATCTTCAATGGTCTCATTGTTGCCATTGCTTCTTCTGGCAAGTGTTCTTCTGAAGTTCTCCAACCTTTCTGTTGGAACTGGACACTGTTGGTCTTGCGCAAAGAGTGCTTTGCGTTGTGTTCTGTGCGTTCTTACTAGATATCCTTGGTTGCTGAATGTCCAGAGGTCACATCTTTTCCTCAGGACTTCCATGCCTGTTGGTGTCCGGGTGACAGGTGTGATCTTTGTTGTTGTTCCTTGGGTCGTTTGATGTACTTCCAGTGGCATGTTGACTGGAATGTTGACAAACTCCATCGTCACGAAGTCAAGGCCATCACATTCCACAAGCGCTGAGTTGAATGCCTTGGTGTGTGTGTGTGTGTGCGTGTGACTGCTGGTGTCTCGTTCGGTTGGATGTTGAACCCTTACTCTGCCAGTCCTGTGACTGACATATGGGTTGTGTCACTTCACACACACACACAGAAGGGAACAACCAGTTGTTGATTGCTGACGTTGGTCATTAAGACCCATTTGTACCCATACACTGGGATGCTTTCATCTGCTGCTGTTCTCAGTTGCAGCCCTTGTCCATGTTGCAGTGTGTACATGGGTGTGTTGGGCGCAAACCATGGTGAGCAGACTGCTCCACAGTCGATCACAATGTCGACTTTGGCTTCATCCTGTTGGACTGACTGAAGCGTTGATGACACCTGATGTTGTTGGCATCTTGTTGTCCAGTGCTGCCATAAGATGTATTGCTGGCGCCTGTTGTTCCTGCGCTGTTGTGTGTTGTGGTGCTGTCAGCGCAAGTTATGGTGTTTGTTGGGTCTGCTGGTATTGTTGCCCATTGTCTTGGTAGTAGCCCGTTTGGTCGTGGCTTTTCCAGTTGGCATCGTAGCCATTGTGTGGGTGATACCATTGCGCCCTGTTGTCATGTTGTTGCTCGTATGTTGCGTCCAACAAGTTGTAGACCGCTGTCCTGCAGTCTTTAGCCAAGTGACTTGGTTGGCCACATCTGTACCATTCTGCCATTGGGTTCTTTCCTTGTCCTTCGTTGTTGTCTCCTTTGTTCTTTCCTTGCCCTTTGTCTGTTCCCTTCATCGGTTGCCCGCGCTTGTTTTCCTTTGGCTTTTCTTTTTGCCTTGCCGTAGCCAGTGTTGTAGCCATATCCTTTTCCTATCCCCTTTCCTTTGTGTCCTTTTTCTTGTTGCTTTCCTTTGCCTCTTCCTCCTTTTCCTTTGTATCTTGCTGCAATATTCATTGGAGCCTGTCCTCCACTGTAGTTTGAGATAACTGCTGAGGACGCCTGCTGTTGAAGCCTTGCAAAGGCTGTCGTTGTCCTGTAGTACCCTGCCCTGCTATGCTCTCTCTGGTCATTGTGTATGTTGGTGCTTCTCTTGCATTCAGGGGTAAACGCTGTTGCAAGGGGCCTGCTGTCTCATTCATGACAACTGCTACCTTTACCTGGTCTGGAGGTTGTGTTTTGCTGTCTCGCCCATAGCGCTCGACTTCCTCGACTTCGAATTCCCATGTTGAGAACGACTCCTCGAAGTTGTTGTGGTTGAAGGTTGGCGGAGTTGGCTTGAGCAACTTTGTGAGGTAGCCAGTGCTCCTTGGTCCCTGGGGGATTGAGAAGTGTTGGCAGAGTTGCCTGCACACTTCAAGGCCCATTGCTGCCTGGTGTTGTCGGCACACCGTGGCTGCTGCAGCTGTTGTTGTGCTGATTAGAATGTACTTGAGGTTGTTGGCTAGTTGTATCCAACGTTCTGCTTCCTCAGGCATTCCTGCTGCGGTTGTTAGTTCTGCATCCGTGAGTACTGTTGTTGCCCTCTCTGCTGCCAGCGGATCTGGGTAGATGTTGACCTGTATGCCCATGTATGATGTGAACTTGTATTTCCACTCTTCAAGCATCGCGTAGTTTCCATTATATGTTGGCGGCTTCAGCTTCAGTCTTTGTGTTGGGGGTCCCCGAGCGTTCTGGGATCAAGCCCTTTCCTGCTGGGCTGCTACCCAAGCGCTCCTTGCTGTTGTTTGTGTGTTGTGTTGGAGTTCACCTGGAGGCTTCCAAGATCACTGCTCCGCTACCATGAAAAGATTCACGACACTGTTTCTGGAGCTGTTGCTGCGCGCCTTTTGCACTGCTGGGACTTGGCTCAAGGCCTAATGTTGGGCCAGATGTTGGCATAAACAATCCAATGTACATGACAGACATGTTGGGTCATGTTGCAACTTAACATAAATGTGTGTATCACTTCTTGCTGGTTCGTATTCTGTTCCGAACACAAGGACCCTCCTAACCCCGAAGAAAAAAAACTTCCGGGTTAAGTTCCTGAATCTGCTTCGGGGTTAAGAGCGTGTCTCGTTCCGAACATAGTTTTCTTGTCCCTGGTTCAAGAAAGAGTCTTCAAACGCTCTTTTCAGTCACTGAGCCGAAGGAGAAAAAAAGGAAACGTGGCTCTACGTAATAGAAACGCACACTGCATTGCAAAACAACACATGTCAAAAAACACGCCGCAAATTTTGTAGTTTTGGAAAAAATGCACACCAAGGTGTTGCAGGCACACTGTCATCCAACCGTTTCAATTTTCATTTCAGTTTCTCAAAGCCTTTCCTATCGAGGTCGCAAAATCGAGCCGGTTAATTACAACGTTCGCTGGTGGATATTTGGATTGATGCAAGAAAACTGGTTTGTTCTCTCCCCCGGCACACCAATACAGCAACACCTAAATATAGTAACTGGACAAGACTTCTGCTAGTGCACTGTTGTGATGCGCTTTCACATTACCTGATTACCTTCCCAGGTTACAGAGAAAAAACGCCCACTGTCTCCTCTAAGTTTTTAATGTGAAGGTTTTTGGTCGGTTACTGCAAGAGGATTTACGTTTGGAGTCAACGTGAGATGGAGCGCAAGAAGAAACAAATCAGTTTTGGTTCCACAGAAATCGCTAGCCCGTTTGGCTTTCCCCGAAACCCTGGACAGGATTGTCGGGGCCACCCCCCAAATGCTTAGGTTGCAGCATCTCTCATTTAAGATGGGTCAATCCCTCCAGTTGCCGGACAGACGGCAGCCATCTTGATGAAACTTTATTGCCCCAAGCAGCTACTTGAACCAAAAGGCCACAATTCAACTGTTGATGCAAAGAAGACGAACTGTTTAAGTATCAAAAAATATCCGTAGATTTTACGTTACAGCACGTCGAATCCACAGACTTTCCCGGAACACCTTGATCATATTGCTGCAGCTCCTGACCAACTGCCTCCTTCCTTCACGTCAATCCGAATCCCGCACACATCGCAAATCATCTCAATACAGTCGAATCCTTCCAACATTTCCTCCAATCTGTCAGTCTGTGTTTGTTTGAGTCTTTCCCATCAGTTTTGAAATCATTGCGTTTCAGCGGTTCCTGTGCCAGGCCTTGCGCTTTGGCGCAAAAGACCCGAGAGCACACGATTCCAGGGTTTGAAGCATGGCGAAGCACGAGGAAACAAAACAGTTCCGGTCTTCTTCAGTTCCTTCGGTTCCTTCGGTTCTTTCATCTTCGCACAGGGCCGCTTGTTCTGCTTTCTGATCCACTTTTGACACAAGCCATTTGACAGTGCCACTTCAAAGTGTGCTGCAGCATACTGCAGCCTCCTTTGTGACATCTTCCGCTGCTTTGGATCAACCACTGCAGACTGTAGATCGTGAGGAGAAATAACAACTCACCATAAGAGATTTTGCAATGGAAGAGCCTAAAGTACCAATTGTAGCACCATGTACCACTTGATGTAGAGCTGATGTGCGGCAAGATATTTTGATCTGAGCAATTTGGCAATTTGGCTGAGCCCTCCATTTGAAGCAAGAGCCTCAGTACGTCCGTGTTTTTGGGAGGTGCCTTGCCACTGTAACAGCTCCCTGTTCCCTGATGCACCGAAGTGCCAATCCGAGGTTGGTCTTGCAATGTTCCCTGATGGCTGACCAGACAGAAAGCCTTTGAAGCTGTGTTGGAGGGCTAGTTTGCAATTGCTCGGATGCATTTGCATTTGTTTCCCCTAGATGAGGTACTCCCAACCGGCAGATGCAAATTGGGGCTCGATTCATCCTTAGCTGCTCTATAACCTTGAAGCATTGCAGAAATGGAGAGAACAGTGGACAGATTCTGGAAGGAACTTTCATTTTCTGCAGAGGCCAACCCCGTACATGTTGCAGATGGTGCAGGTTCCCGTGATGAACAACTCAGGAGGAGAGCTTTCGTTGTGATGTTGGTATGGTCAATCTATTGCGAAGCTACGCATCACTGCACACACCGCGCATTGCAATTTGAAGGCCCTGCTGGCTTCCCCAACAATCAGATTGATCCTCGGCACAGAGCTCAGCACCAAGAAACACACTTCAACATTGTGAATGCAATTTCATGTATTGCCTGTCAGGTGCCACATAAACATGTGCCACACATTTCCAATGAACGTGGCCGTCAAGGCACAAGGATCTTTTGCGACTTGCATCAAAAGGTGCGCTGGCATGTTTGCTTCGGTGCTGTGACTCCTACATTGGTAGCGGAGCCGGAAAGTCCGGCGGGCGGTGGCGAGTGGGTCAAGCAGAATTTCTGGGGCATCCGGCTTCATTCTGAACCTCTTGACCGTTTTTGACTCCTTAGGCGGCAACCATGACTGCAGTGTGGAGAGCGGCCGGTCGAGGTCGTGGGAGCGGCTCTGCTCGGACTGGGACAGAGCCCGAGGTGAACTCGGCTGAAGATGAAGGTGAACTGGACGAAGGTGGTCCGGGAGAGGGCTCCGGGGCTCTTCATGAGGGGCTAGTCGTGGATGTTGGTGGAGCCGAAGAAGGCCATGAGGACCGATGGTGGGAAGATGAATGGAGGGTTACCCCGGGAAGTTGGTCGAATGGTCCTAGCTGGAATGGATGGCATGGGCATGATAGCTGGCATCATGGAACTTGGAGAGATGAATATGTAGCTAGGATAGAAGAAACCACTTGGGGCAGAGACGGCAGGTGGCAAGGTAGTTCGACCCACGCCCACAGTCATGAGTCTTGGCGTGGCACCGATGATGGCGGTGACTGGGGACGCCTAGGCAAGCCCACGGAGAAGATGACGGTGCCGACCTTTGATGGTGAGGGCGGTGACTCTGAGCTTGGGACGTCGGCAAGGTCATACCTTCGCCGTGTGGCGGCGTGGAACCGCTGCACGAAGCTGGCAGAGACTGAGAAGGCCCTGGCATTGTACACCAACTTGTCAGGGCGTGCATGGCTGTTTGCTGAGGAGCTCGATGTGGACAGACTTGGGTCCCGTGATGGAATGGCTCACTTTCTTGAGTGGGTCAGGGTAAGGTTCATGGAGATCGAGATCAACAAGGTTGGTGGCATCATGAACGAGCTCTTCAGGAGGTGCAGAAAGCGCGCTGACCAAAGCGTGCGGGACTACAACATGGAGTTCGAGCGGCTGTTGTTGCGGCTGGGTGAACTCAACTGCGAGCTCCCCAATTTGGTGAAGGCATGGCTCTATGTGGATCGCCTCAAGATGTCCGAGCACGACGAGGTGGCACTACTTGCATCGGTGGGGAACCAGTATGACCTACGAGCCCTGCAGCAGGCTGCGTTGGTGCAAGACCGTGGAACGACCAAGAGGTCATGGGATCGAAGCAGTCCTGGCAGGTGGAAGTCTCAGCAATCAGTGCATGTGACAGCTGCTGGAGAAGATGGCCCCACCGACGAGGAGGTGCCGGATGAGATGGAGGAGTCAGACTCTGAGATCGTGGATGAGGGCGTCGCATCGGAAATGCATAGCGCCTGCATGGCTTTTCAAAACGCCAAGTCGAAGTACAGAGAAGCTATGCAAGGCAGAGGGCTGGACAAGGAGGAGCTGCAGAAGAGAAGTGAAGAACGACTTCGGCTGGCAAAGGCCAGAAGTTACTGTGCGGCATGCAAACGCCGGGGACACTGGCACAAAGACCCTGAGTGCCCCCTTCGGGGTGCATCGGCAGGGACCCGCAGTTCTGAGCCCAAGGGAGCGCAGATGACACAGAATGTGCAGATGTGCTTCGTGACGAAGCATGGGAACTACATCACTGACGAGGTGCACGTTCCTGACGAGCCCTTTGGCATCACCAACGAAGCATGGATGACGCATGAGTCCCAGGAGAATGAGATGAGCGGAGATTATGGGGCTGAAGTCGGCTTGGCCTATGATGCTTGGTTTCCTGGGAAGGTTATGCTTGCAATAGCCGACACGGCATGCACCAAAACGGTGGCAGGGCATCAGTGGTACGAGGAGTACTGCGCCTGGGCTGACGCCAACCGGATCCCTGTGGAGCCAGTGGAGGAGAGGGACAGCTTCAAGTTTGGTGCCTCTCGGGTGCATCCCTCGCCCTTTGCAGTCTGGGCCCATTTTGGGATCGGAGGACATCACGTCCGCATCAAGGTGGCAGTGGTTCAATGCAAAGTACCCCTTTTGTTCAGCCGTGGGGTGCTTGCCAAGCTGGGCATGGTCTATCCAGTGGGAGAGCAACGAGCTGACCTTTCGAGCAATATGTCGCTGCGTCCGTGGAGGGGCCGGGTTTTGAAGCTTGCAAACAACCTCTATTTTTTCCAAAGAAGGTTTCTACAGAAGTCTCAAACATGCTGATGCACCCTGACCTCTCTTCGGCCTCTTTTTTCATGTGGTGGAAACGAGCAAACCAGAGTAGGGATTTTTGGATTGAAACGGAAGCCGAGATGATCAGAGTGCATGTGGTGCCGCGAAAGCACAATTTTGACCCATCATCATGGAATACCAGTTTGATAGACCTCAAAGAGCAGCTTTTGCAACGTCTGGGAAACAATCGTATCACAGAGGCTTTGTCATGTCAAGGTGAAGGTGTGCATCGACAGGTTTTTGAAGATGAATGGCAACAGTCTCCGACTTCACAGATTTTTGATCAAGTTGGAGGGCTTTGGATCGGTCGCAGCCGTTTTCCCAAGCGGGTTTCAAGGCGCCCCCATCAGCCTCTTGAAGTTCCGGTACCTGTGGGGAATGCCAGCACCGCCTTGCTCGCCATGGCGGATGAACCGACCAGAGCTGCTGGTGGCTTTGGATGCCCTCCAGATCCCAGTCCATCCTCGATGGACAGTCCCGGAACTACGCCAGACACTGATCGAGCAGACCAGGGTGGAAGTGGATCCTACCCCGGCAGCTTTGAAGGGGCTGAGCAAGCTGAACTTGGCCGACCTGAAGACTCGATGCGAGGAGGAAGGGATCTCTCTCCCGGAGAAGCCAACGAGGGGCCTGATGATCAAGCTCTTGAGGGAGAAAGTTCAACCAGCCGGAGAACAGGTGGTGCCCTTCGGCAAGTACAAGTCATGGATGTACAAGGAGATCCCGGAAGCATACCTGCATTGGGCCATCAAGGAGACCAATGCCAACAGCAACTCAAGCCCAGACTTGGTGAAGCTGGCGAACTGGGCCAAGGAGGACTTGGAGAAGAGGGCCACTCAGGCCCGTGTGGCGGGGGCAGTCCCGGCAGCCGAAGATCCGGAGGTGAAGGCAAAACATCCACCTCCGCCAGTGAGCTCGGCGGGAAGCTCGGCATCGTGGTCTCTGATGAGTGCCGGGGGCTATACGGTGCAGCGGGGAAGGAGCACCCCGTTTCCGAAGAGAGATGCGGCCACCATGGATGCAGTGAGGATGGCCGAGATGGACATGGAGTTGCCGGAAGAGGCCCAAGCCGAGATGTTGCGGCTGGAGACCGAGATGGCGCTGATCCGGCAGAAGTACAACAAGGCAAGGGATCCCACCCAGTGACCGGTGCCGAGATCTATGTGACAGACGGTGAGCAACTCCCTGTGAATTCGGCGGTGATCGGGCATGGCACGGGGGTGAAGGACAACGTGCCTGTGTATAAGGAGACCCTCGGGCTTGGCAAGTCTGAGTATAACATGGAAGTCGGGTCTGGCAAGGTAAAGTATGACATCGCTCCGGAAGAGCATGCGGTTGGTGGATCGTCTTGGCAGTGGTGGGGCGCCTGGAGTTCGGAATCGGGGGGCTCTGGTGATGACAAGACACCCCGTCAGAAGGCGAGGGAGGGCATCAAGAAGCGAAAGATCAACTCCAGCACGAAGCGGAAGTTGCAGCATATGGGTCAGCAACTTTGCCAGGTTCTCCTCACATGTGCTGCGACTCTTGGGAATTTCGCTGATGAGGTCTTCGCCGAGCCCATGCAGGACTTATGGAACTGCTTCACAGCCAGTTCACACCATGTGCAGGCTGGAGAAGCCAGGTGCTTGGAGATCTTTGCAGGTGAAGCAGCAATCTCCAAAGCATTTGCTGGACGCAGTCACGGCGTCCTGCGGCCCCGGGATCTACGCTATGGGGATGACCTGCACGACCCTGGGGTACGCCAAGAGGTGTACCGTGAAATTCGAGAAGAGAAGCCTGATCTGGTTTGGATCGGGATGCCATGCACGAGGTGGTGTGCCTTCTCCAGACTCAACTACACCAAGCAAGAGAGGCGGCGAATGCGCCGTAAGGAGAAGGACTTCTTAGCAATGATCGACGAGATCTTCCTATTGCAGAGGATGAATGGAAAGCATGTGGTGGTTGAGAACCCGACAACGTCAGATCTATGGCAACAACCCGAAATCAAGCGTTGGAGTGACGATGAGTACACGCACAAGTTTTCCTTCGACATGTGTTCCTACGGCCTGAAGTCCGCGGTTGAGCCGCAGAAGTTCCTCCGCAAGTCGATGACATTGCTGAGCACACATATCAAGTTTCAAGAGGTGTTGGGTGGACACTGCGGGGGGCATCATGAGCATGCTCGAGTGCAGGGCCGAGATACTCGGCGTTCTGGTGTCTACCCGGAGGAGTTTGCTGAGAAGGTCGTCAAGGTGATAGAAGCTCTGCCACAACAGTCTGCTTGGGTGAGTACAGCCTCGAGTGGAGCAGTGGTAGCAAGTGAAGAGGCAGAGAGCCAAGAGCTTGGGAGAGGTGCTTCTGAGATCTCTTTCAAGGGGAGTGTCTCCGGAAAGGTGGCTGGCGCTCTCCGCCGTTTGCATCAGAATTTGGGTCACCCATCGAACAGAGAAATGGTGAGACACCTCACTCTGGGAGGCGCCAACAAGGAGATGATTGCGGCTGCACAGAATTTGAAGTGCAGCACCTGTGCTCGATGTGCACGACCACAAGCACACCGGGTCGCCAAGCCCTCAGCGCTCTTGGACTTTAATGAGGCCGTGGCAATTGACATCATCTTCATCGACACCATCCAGACTAAAAACCATCTCGCTCTGAACATGGTGGACATGGCTTCGTCATACCAGGTGGTGGTTCCTCTTGAGAGCCGACATGCCAATGTGGTGACCGAGACCTTT